GGTGCCGAGGGTCTCTGTGACCCCAGTTAACCGCCTCTGCCCACTGCCGTCCTCGCTGTCCGCGGATCCCGGGCAGGGCCGCAGGGAGAGGACGGCCTCGTGCGCCCCCGCAGTGAAAGAGTGGGCAGCCCTCTTCTGAGCCCCAAGGCTGCATTCCCAGGCCAGAGAGGCGCCCTCAGGGCCGGCCCTGGAAACCAGCAGGATTCCCGTGCCCCTGCTGTGCTCAGCACGGCCTGAATACCAGCCCACATCCTCCCCCTTCTAAAACGCAGGGGGTGGGTCTGCCAACCACCGACCCCAGGAACTTCAGCCATGTTGGGTGCTGGAGATTCGCAGGGACACCCCAAGCAGCCCTCCAGCTGGTGCAGAATCAACTGGAACAGTTCTCACTAGGTTGATTTTTTGCATCCCAAGAGGCTCTTTTGGAATAGCCCGAATGTGAGGAGTTTCCATGGAGACAGTTGAAACAGCTGAACCTGCAGCAAGGCAGGGAGGGTTGTGACCTGGACTGGGCCACCCAGTCCTGAAGGTGTCCCACCCTTCCTACCTCCTTGCTGTGAGACCCTTTCTCCATACCCAGGAGACATACCAAGGATACTGTGCCATGGGGACCATCCCCACCAGTGGCTACAGAGAGGTCCTGTGCCTCAGCCTGGCCAAGTGTTCTCAGTGAAGGAGAATTGTAAAAACCAAGCCATCTCTGCTTCTGGACAGCATGGTGATCCCTGGAAAGTGGCAGCCTCCTTGCTCCAGGCTCCCGTGAAACCGCTCCTGGACCTCAGAGCAGTGTGGGTCAGACAGTCCTGTGGTCACCCTTCCCCACGGTCAGGGATAAGGCTGGACAAGCCAGCTGGAGCAGAGATGTTCGTAATTGTTTATAGGACTGAATAATGTTTATTTTAGATCTTCTACAGATAGAGAGGAGGGGGTCTCTATCTCTGTCCTCTCTACAGGCAGAGCAGGGGGTCCTGAAAAAGAAGGTAGGAAACGAGACAGTAGCAAACAAAGGCAGACAGACCCAGAACAGAAATGGAGGGTCGGCTCTGCCCCCCATTTGCACTGGAGACTTTCCCTGCCTGATCTGGCCTCTCCTCCATCTGCACCAGGGAGGGGTCTGGCTGGAACTTCAGGCAGGCTTCAGGCTGTAAAGAGCCCTAGCTGCTCATCCACAGAGGCTCTGCACTCAGCTCCACAACCCCCTGTGCAGGAAAGGCAGATGGACCCACTGCCCAGGTCTAGGGACGAGGACAGGTGGACAGCGGTGGTGGGTGGTAACAGCTCCATGCTGAGGCCATGCCATGCATCAAGGTTTCACCAGCCCAAACCTGTGAGGGAGGCTGAGGTGTAGGGTCAGGTGCACCCAGAGGCCCATGGGACCCAGCCGGCTGTGCTGGTACCTAGCATACACAGCAGTGTCCCAGGCAGAAGCAGCCAAACAGGAGGAAAGCCCAAGACCCCGCTTCCACTGTCCACCCTCACTTGGTAGGACAGCAGTTCCAAGAACCATGGCTTACAGGGACAGGTTCTACAGGAGCAGAGTGACCAGGGAAGATGTGACTCCCTCTCATAAAGCTTCCTGAGGTGGCCCACCACCACAGCCACGCTGGGGACCCCCACTGCAGAGAGGATCACCACAGCAAGAGCCACCTGTCGTTCAGGACATTTGAGTCAACAGGTCCTGCCAAGCCCTGCTGCACCGTCTGAAACTGGGACACAGGACTTCTGCCACAGGGCCTCATGGATTCAGAAGAGAAGCCCAGGGCCCCACGCCCAATTCTGGTCAGCTGCAGCTCTTGGGAAAGAGGTCCGTGTCCACAGAGGCCCTTATTAGATAAGGACCGTGCCCAGTGCCGTGGTTATATGCCAACCCCAGGAAGCACGGGCGCCCACATAGGAACTTCCCTGGTGTGTCTTAGAGGGTATTTCTGGAGGAGTCTGAACTGTGTCTAATACAGGAGGTGCAGCTTCCCCAGGGTGGGTGGACACTATCCAACCAGGGAGCGCCTGAGGAGAACACAGTGTGGGAAAGGACGAGTTCTCCCTGCAGCAAGATGCCACTATTTCAGCACTGGCCAAGAGCCTGAGACCTGGTGCTGCATCTAATCTCTTATGCCACACGCTGGGCAGGTGACCTCTGGGTCAGTTCTTCCTCCCACCACATGGGGAGATCAGACAAGTGTGATGGGGATGTGTCCCCATCACCTGAGCCTGCTGACAGCCTCCTTTGACACCTCCTGTCCAGGAACCTTGCCAGATGTAGACTGGGGGCCAGGAGGTGGCAAGGCCACCACTTGTCACCTTGGAGGCCATAGCTATGTTCTAGAGTGACCATAAATGTGACGGCAGGTGCCAATGAGAGAGTGAGAGTGGAAATGAGTGTGTGTACATGTGAGTGAGATGATGTGTGTGAGGGTGTGTGTAAATGCTGCGTGCTAGTGTGGGTAATGAATGCTATGGGCA